TGAAACAGTAATGATGAAAAGGTAAATCATAAACCGTGAAAAGATGAAAAAACTTACTGACGTTTTGGATGCTAGTCCTTCGTCGGAGTAAAAGACGAAGGACTAGCGTCCGAAACGTCAGTAAGTTTTTTCATCTTTTCACGGTGTATGATTTACCTTTTCATCATTACTGTTTCAAAATTTTTACTGTAAATCATCTCTTGAGCCTTTTTTGTCCATTGGAATAAGATTTATTTTATTTATTATGGTGTATGTATTAAGTCAATGCTTCATTTTTGAGGGTTTAAAAAAGGTAGAAAAACTTGTTTGGGAAATGATAGCCCAATTAAAAAAACCCTAGGTGTTTACGATTCGGTGTTTATGCTTTAGATAATTTGAATTTGAAATTTTATTACCATAAAGCATAATATGTGTGATTATGCATTCTGATCATGACATATCGATCTTTTTTTCACAGGGTGAAAAATATGATGGCAAGAAAGCAGACACATGGAGTGTTGGAGTAATTTTATATGCCCTACTTGTGGTATGTTTAATATGATTTTTCTTCTTTTACATTTGTTGTCACAGTTATATGACCAAAACCAAAAAGGAAAACTGGAAATAAGCAGACATTCTTTTCTCTTGTTCTTAGGGAGCTCTTCCTTTTGATGATGATAACTTAAAAGGTTTGCTTGAGAAGGTATGAAGCTAATCTGAAATGTATGATCATTTTTGTAACCTTTATATTTCATTATTGAGTGAAATAAACATAGACTCAGCAACCCCTCAGGTGTTATTGTCATGGGTCTAAATCTTATCAAGGTCGGGGATTCATTTTCTCCAATTTTTTGCGAAAAGATTTTCGATCAATGGCGCCAGTATACACTAGTACGATGTACCAGGCCTATTCTCACATCTTTGGTCTTGAGTTCAATTCCTGGACTCAGGATTGCAAAGAATTGTAGTACCAGAAAAAGGCAATTTTGATGTTCATTGCTTTCATCCATCACAGGTAAAGAGAGGTGTATTCAGTATTCCATCATTCGTCCCATCTGACCTGCAAGAATTGTTAAGAGGGATGATACAAGTAGATAAAGATAAGAGATACACTGTAAGTATGATACTATTGACAATATATAGACAGACTTATATTTACCTTGGGTGTGGTGTTTGCCATTTTATACCGCAACCATTTCATATGGTTCCCAATAGTTATTAGTTTCTTGGAATGAAGAGATAACTAGCAAAAAACTAGTGTGAGCTGCGTCGGTGTTTCTAATGAAGCAGTAATGATGAAAAGGTAAATTATACACCGTGAAAATTTCGGACGCTAGTCCTTCGTCGGAGTAAGAGAGAAAGAGGTGGTAGAAAGGAGTGTTTATATACTGAGAATAAGACAAAAGAAAATGATGAGAACAAGGCAATCAATCATGAAATGAAAGAGAAACAATCCAAAGACAAAAGAGTGGATTAGTTAAAAGCAAAGTGTTCAGTAATCCCGTTGGGACTAAGAGTGCCCAATAGGTGAATAAGCCTCATTTCTTTGGTCTTGCGACAATCATTGTTGCCGTTAATCAAAGAAAGTTTCTTGGAACGTCAGTGGACCAAACGAAGAGACGGGCGCAGTCCAAAACTGATTTCAACAGGGTGACCCATCAACTGTTTACCCTGACTCTTAGTTGACTAAGTCAACATTAAGAGAAATTGACTGCTCTCTACTGTTTCTAATAATATTTTTTTCTTTAACGCTTTTAGTTACAGCATGTTAAAAGGCATCCATTCTTAGCAAGGTAATCAAACTGTGCAAGCCAAATTGTATTTCTATCTAAAATTTGCAATGCTTGAAATTGTTTGCCGACTATTATACTTCATTTTTGCTGCTCAAGCCACTAGGTTAAAAACTTTTCTCAAGTTGATAGGGTGGCTGTGATGTACGTAATTTGCGTGTTAAAGTAGTGTAACCCAGATTGATGGGCTACCTGTGGTAAGGTTGTGTTTCCCAGATTGATGGGCTGCCTTTGGTAAATTTGGGTTACCCAAATTGACGGGCTACCTTTAGTATTTCTGTGTTCACTAGATTTATGGGCTATCTTTGGTATTGTTTTGTTATCCACATGAATGGGCTGCCTGTGGTAAAGCCGTGTTTCCCAGATTAATGGGCTACCTGTCTCCTTCGTTAAGTAGCAGATCACATGTTAATGCCCCTTGGGTAAAAGTTGCTAGCTACACTTTCTCCCATGCTTCAAGGGATTTGCTGTACTGTAGATGGGTTCTCAGTTTTTTCCCTCTGCAGAAGTTACCTTTTTTTTCAGATCTACGTAATATGCTAACAGTGTTTCTGACTCTTGTAGAAATTCTTGCATACTTTTATTTTCCAGTTATAAAGAAGAACTCCCTCCTGACCCAGAAATAATAGACATTGTGAGAGTAAGTTCACTATGCAACTGATTTTACAGTTTATCGTAATATGCGTTTGCTATTTCTTCAATAATGGTATGATGGCTGAAGCAGCTCTACTTCTCTACTCCTCTCCTGGGATAGAGATGAAACACTTGTTACAAATATGTCTGTTTGTCTGTTCAAATTTAGATCGAAGATATCAATGCTAAAGATGAGATAGATCCAGATGTCCTTGCCTGTATGACATCACTGGGATGTTTTAGAAACAAAGATAAGCTGTTAAATAACCTCCTGAAAGAGGGGTAAGGCAATACTCCAGTTTCGAATTCTCTGTTGCTTAGAGTTAGCCAAGGTATACGAGACCCAGACGGCTGAAAATGAGCCTAGGTCAGGTTTAATTTTGTGTAAAATATCCATGTGCTCTAGATGGCATAGCAGACTTACCTTAACTCTAGGGTCTCATGCTTGATGCCTGACCTCGGCATCACATTATGTTATTTTAGTAGAGTTTGTTCGGTTTCTTTCTTGATTTGAGGGTTTTTCTTCAGCTTCTCCTCCCTCCACAAAACCTAAGATCAGACTATCAATAAACGTTGTTCAAAGTGAGCATTCTTTACTTTCCAATTGGTAGAGTGAAGGAATTTAACCCGTGAAATAAAAAATGTCATTCAACGTGTAATAGCCAATTTTACAATAACTTAGAAATTCCTTATTAATGCCAATAAACTACACAATTTTATATTAAACTTTTTTCGTGTCATATGCACTTTAGGTTGTATTAGTCTAATATCTATTTCACGGGTGTAATGACTTCACTCAATGTTTTTCTGTCTATTTTATTCTACTTCTATAATTTCTCATCATGGCTTTGTTTTATATATTTACAGCAAAACTATAGAAAAAGTAGTTTATTTTTTATTACTGGAGCGAAAAGAAAGGGTTCCCTGCAATGAGGACACTGAAGTAGCGACTATTAACAAACTTACTAATTTAGGTGGGTAGAATCAATTTTATTCCATCATATCAGTAGCGTAGCCAGGATTTTCTGAAGGAGGGAGGAGGGGGGGGGGGGGGATTCAAAGATCTGCCAATTTGCTTGAGTCCCCTGAAACGCCGAACCCAAAAAAATGAGTAAGAGAAAGAAAGAAAGAACTAACATTGCGTTTTCCGTTTTCTTTTTGGAAATTTGTTTTTATAAAAAAAACCTGAAAATCACCGTATAAATTCTATATGAGAGATGAGGCAGTAAGCCGTGTGGGATAGGCATATAAGAACATGCGTAAAAGGTAAATTACGAGCCTTGTATGAAACGACTAAAGAAGAGGGCCAATGGGCCCTTTCACAATTTCAAAACTTTTACGTGACTTGAAGTTGTGAAAGGCCCATAGGCCCTCTTCTTCGGTCGTTTCGTACAAGGCTCGTAATTTACCTATTACGCATG